AATTAGCTCATTAGGTTTTTAAACACATTCATATGAGCCTTACATCATACTGGAATTCATTTTAAGCCTCCTACTGAAAGTAGAGAATGCTCTACAAAAATTAGAGAAGGCTCAAGGGAAAGTAGAGAAGGCTCTACGAAAGTAGAGAAAGCTCTAGATTTCTAGAGAAGGCTCAGAAAATTAGAGCAGGCTTCATTTCAATTAGAGACGGCTCTAGAAGCTTTTTTCAACAAAAAATGAAGTTTCCATCCAAAGAGCAGGCTCCCAAAAAGGAGAGCCGGCTCTCAAGGCTAGGGAGCCGCCTCCTCTTGTTTACAAGAGCCGGCTCCTTCTAGGGTTTTGATCTACAACGGAAACTTTTTCATTTATTATTGTCCAACCACCTGCAACAGTTATATCCAAGAAGATAGGATTTGCTTGCTTAGAAGGGAAATTGGAATGTGCTCAGAAGAAGAAATACAGCAGTAAAGCAAAGCAGCAGCAGAGCCAGCTTCATTCAGAAAAGGAGTCGTCTCTTTGAAGAAAAAGAGCCGTCTCTACACAAGGCAGAGCAGTCTCCACAGATGATATCAAACTGCTTGCTCTCGGGATCTCAAAAATTTTAAGATAGAGCCTGCTCTATAAAAACAAGAGCCGGCTCTCAAACCTACATACAAATTGGAATAGGAAGAGCCGTCTCTAGAAAAAGGCAGAGCCGGCTCCTTCAATGCTAAATTTTTTTTTTTTTTTTTTTCAACTCTCGGGATCTCCTCTGCAAACAATTGAGCCTGCTCAACAAAAGGGAAGAGCCGGTTCCTAAAAATGCCTTAAACATCCATCTCTCGGCATCTCTGAAAAAGCCCAAAAGAGCCGGCTCTACAAATTAATTGAGCCGTCTCCAAAAAATTGGGTTAAGCCGTCTCCACATTTCTTCTTGAGCCGGCTGTCCATTATTTTTTTTTTCTTTTATTTATTTATTTTTTGCTTGGCAAGGAGCCGGCTCTAAAAATTTTGAGAGCCGGCTCCATATTTATAATGAGCCGGCTGCCAACTCAAAGAGCCGGCTCAACAACTTAGAGCCGGCTCCATTGAACTTCAAGAGCCGGCTCCATTAAATCCCAAGAGCCGGCTCCATCTCCTTAATATAGCCCTTCGAATTGCTCTCTGTTGTATATCATTTACTCACTGTTGGGATAATTTCATTCACTTCCAGAGAGCATCTCGGCTAGGGCTTTCTTCATTCTCCTCTAGTCTCTTCAAGCAAGTAAGTTTTCATCTATTTTTTTCTACATTTCATAAATTCATTACTTGTTTATTGAATGTTCAGTAATTAATTTTTAATTTACTCCTTTGATTTCATCATTCCATGAGACCCTTGATTGCAATGTAGCCTTTTTCTTTCACATGTAAAAGACTTATTCTAGCAAGAATTGCTTAGTCTATGGTCTGCAAATTCAAAATTTATGCACAAACTTCCATTTGTCCTTTAATCAATTTGTTGATCCATCATATTTTGATCAAATCTTGTGTTCTTGCATAAATTTTGTCATAAAAAATAATAATAATAATTTTTTTTTTGTTTTTGTGTTTTATTATCTAAATTTATTTTTGAATACTTGTGATGACTTTGGTTCATTTGAGTAGTACATTTCATAATTATGTTGAATTCCTACCCTTAGGATGAATTTATATATATCTCAATCCCTAGAGCATGTTATATAAATTTTTTTTGGTTTATCAAGCAAACATTTTAGGACTGTTCCATGCACTGTCCTGTTAAAATTCCATATGCTTCCATTTCAGTTTAAATTTGAATCCTCTAGTATGCCTCCATTTTGGTTCTTCATGTCTAGATAAATTATTTTTCCCTCAAAATTCTAACTAAATGTGCAACTTTGACTAGGCCTTTCCATTGATTCAATTTGTTTTACTGTTAATCTTCTGTCTACACTTATTTGAGATTTGATTTTTTCATTGCCTTTTAAATTGGATTTTTATTCAGAGAATTCCTCTGTAATTTCAGTTTAATTTCTCGAAATGTCCACGGCTTCATCCTCACGTAGAAAGAATCCCTCTCGTGGACAAAAACGGTCTACTCAACATAATGATGAATCAGGCCCTAGTGAACCAAATCCTCCTCCACTTCAAATCTCTGCCACCATGCTATATAAAAACCCCACATACAAAAGCATATATGACAAATTCTTTCAGCATAGAAAAGTGGCCACAGCAATGGTGTTGTCTGACACAATTTGCAATGATCTTCATCTCAACACCTATAGATTGTTTGATGCAATTGGCTTTGATCATTTGTTGGAATGAATGAAGGTTACTATCCAAAATTAGTAAAGTTATTCTACACTCATCTTGAAGAAATGCCTGGAGAAGAAAAACTTAACTGCTATGTGGCTGAAATATATTTTCACCTTGATACAAACAGCATTGCTCGAATCCTTCATCTTCCCTCTGTGGATGGAATTCAATTCTATTCTCATTTCAACTGGTTTAAAGGACAAGGCTTTGATAAACTCGCGGCTATTCGGCAAATGAGTTATGATTCAAATGTAACAAATACCAGAGAAGTCAACACTAAACAATTAACTATGGAAGCTCGGCTGATTCACAAGATCATCATGTACTCTATTCTTCCCAAATCTGGCAGTCGATCCAAAGTTTCCCACATGGACGTCTTTCTTATCTAGTGTGTCTTAAATGGCAAGCACTTTGATCTTGCATACATTATATTTCATCACCTTTTTACATGTAAAAGAAAGAAAAAGGTCTTTCTTTATTATCACATGGTTCTCTCTCACATATTTCTGGCTAAGAAGGTTCCGCTTGATAGTCGTGAAGCAGTCAAACCAGGGCCAAGACACATTCTCACTGCCTCCAATCTTACGTCAATGGGGCTTAAAAGGGATTACAATGGAGTGTGGTTTTATCTTAGGCAACGAAGGTTGGAAGAGGCTCGAGCTAAAGGAGAAGAGATTGAGGATGTTGATGATGGGGATGAAAACGACCATGAAAGTGATGACGATGATGAAAATGAAGAAGTTCCAGTTGAAAATCGTACCAATCGTGCTCTCTTGTTGGAAATTCTCAAAGGGACTCGTCAAAACCAAGCCACTCTAGAGAAACAACAAACTCAACTTGACGAAATGCACATGGCAATCGCTCATCTTAATGATGATTTTATAGAATTTCGAAACCAATATGGACCTTCTTCTCCTTAGAACAGTTTTTCTCCATTTCAAACCCTCTTTTGTGTGCACTTATTAGATTTATTTGCTTTAGAGAAGCATTTTTCTGTGTTTTATAAACTATGCCTTTATCTGTCATATGGTACTCGTGTTGACAGTCTCTTTCTGTTATCTATAAAATGCCATATTTGCTTATCTTTTGCCCTTTAATTCATTCTTCTCTGATATTTCCTGAAATGGCAAGTTATTTTTCTTTATCTATTCATTTAGTCTCCTATTTTTTTTGAGATGACAGAGGGGGAGAAAGATGTGTTATCATGCTAATGTGTTATTCTATTGCTTTTTTAAGTATCTTGATAGATGCATATTGATAGGGGGAGTCTTCTAAAAATGTCTGTGAAATTTATATGCTTTCAAATTGTCTAAAATTATTGCTATAGAATCAAGTTTGATATAATTTTCAAAATATGCTTATTGATAGAGGGAACATTCTTTCTAATGCAAATCCATGTTGACTATAAACACATCAATGTTTTGTCATCATCAAAAAGGGGGAGATTGTTGGCCTAAGGATTTTATCTAAAGGTCAATCTTATGTTTTGATGATTACAACCCATTAATGATGTTTATGTACTAATATTTTCATTGAGTGAAGTATAGTTGTTCAATCATTCAATCCTTAATGATGAGCTAGAAGTTCCATTTTAAGCATTCCAAACACTCAAGCAATGATTTCAAAGAAGCATCAAAGTGCAAGAAAATAAAGAAGAACTCGGTCTTCAAAGATCATTCAAGCTTTTTAGCAAATCTTCATCAAGCCTAGACGATCATGATCAAGAAATGAAGAAAAGGGTAGATAGGATGGTGAGATACTAAGGTTCAATGTCAAAGTTTAGTTGAATATATTTCGAAGCTCAAAATTACAATTCATGCATATCATTCTCATCTCATCTCTCAAAGAACATAAAATTAGCTCATTAGGTTTTTAAACACATTCATATGAGCCTTACATCATACTGGAATTCATTTTAAGCCTCCTACTGAAAGTAGAGAAGGCTCTACAAAAATTAGAGAAGGCTCAAGGGAAAGTAGAGAAGGCTCTAGATTTCTAGAGAAGGCTCAGAAAATTAGAGCAGGCTCCATTTCAATTAGAGACGGCTCTAAAAGCTTTTTTCAACGAAATGAAGTTTCCATCCAAAGAGCAGGCTCCCAAAAAGGAGAGCCGGCTCTCAAGGCTAGGGAGCCGCCTCCTCTTGTTTACAAGAGCTGGCTCCTTCTAGGGTTTGGCTAATTCATATAGTTTTGTATGTGATATTACTTATACAGCAGGGTGTGAATATTTAATTATGAAGGTGAAGATTGTATTTTTTTTCAATTTTTTTTATGCTTTCTTATTAATATACACACACGCGCCCACACACACACATATTATTTTCTCTATATTCACTTCAAATCAGAAAAATAGTATGGTGAATTTAGATAATTTCATATGTGCTATTACTTAAATAACAGGATGTGAATACTTAGTTGAGATGGTGAATGTACTTACAGGAGATTTGCCAGTTCAACCAAATATCTATATATAATAGAGGAGTTGTAGATATACTTAGTCATATCAAACAAGCAGTGCATTTAATTATACATTTACAGCTAATGTTGTGAGTTATTACACAATTTCATGTTCAACTAATCCTAACCTACCACATTAATTGGCTATGCATATTGACTATATATCCAACATAAGTTCTTCCCTTTCTGGTAAACCAATGGTTAACCTTCCCCCAAAAGGTAACCAGCATACACAAAACAAGTAGTCTAAAAATGAAAATAGAAGAACTCCCACCACCGTTGCTCAGTGAGGTGGTTAGTAAAGTGGCAGCAAATAATTTTCAAGACCTACTACAACTTCAACAATGGTAAGGATTTAATTGTACATTATTGTTTTATGTTTATAATATTTTTTTCATTCACGAAATTTTTTGTTAAAAGTGTTTAAATATGTACAGTTCTCATAAGCTAGCTATGGTGTGTTTGGAGCCACATATGTTACGACTTCTCAGTTTTAAATCCTTGTATGAAATACAAACGGGGGGTACCAGTGATACTTACTATTTGCAATACGTGTTCATGCAAAAGTGTGTTGATGATGGCAATTTGGAGGCTATGTTTGTCTCCGGAGTGGTACGTTGCTTGCACTCACTTTACTAAATTGTGAAAGTAATTTAATCGGGTTTCTTTTTAATAACTTTATGTTGGATGTAGGAGCTATTTTTCTTGCATCAAAATCGGGCAGATGGGCTAAGTATTCTAACCAAAGGTGCATATCTTCAGCATACTGGTTGTAAGTTTGCTTTAGCCATTGCATTAATATATGGTAATGATGCTGATAAAGTAAATGGTATTCAACAACTTTCGAACATGAACACAAACATAACAAATAAACTGATCATAAAACATCGGAGGGAACAAATGATTTCAATAGTGAAAAGAGGGTGGTCAAATGGGTTATTTCATAACATTCCTGCTTGTTGTGAGGAAGATTATGGACCATCGAACTATGAAGGTGACATGGTTCACGTCAAATGGTGGATGGTCGAGCGAATAAATTAGGAGAAAATAAAATGTAATCTTTGCCATTGCGATCTCCACATATTGATGGTGTCTGGCATCATTGGAGAAAATGTCATAGTCAACTGATGAAAACCGTTGATGTCGTTTTCTGTATGTAATATGATATATGTGTATGTATGTAATGTGATGTTTGTAGTGTGATGTTGTATTTAACTTTTGAAGTAACAAAATGGAACTTTTGGGATGGATAATTTAATTAGCACTGTCTAACATAAAATCGCCATATGCAAGAGGCAATTAAGTATCGCCATCATTGGAGAAAATAGCCAGATGCCATTCACGGAACCATGTCACCTTGAAATTAATGGTTTCAACCTGTCCCAAATCACAAACAGAATGGACTAAACAATATATGTACACATACATATTTCAATTGACATAAATAGGCCTGAATAAAAATCCATTTCATTTTCCATATATACAAAACCCAAAAAACAAAAGTGAACAAGTTATCCATACATTTACAAATCTTTACTCAAAAAGGGATATATTTTTTATGCCACCATATTCTGTTATCATCCATCAACCATAGTATACCTATACACCATCAATTTGTCAAGAATTTCTTAACTCAAAACAAATTTTGCCGAGCTGGAGGATTGATCTCGGATGTTGTCTCCTCCGACATTGGCATCAAATTACAGTCACCACCGGTGTGATCAACATCCTTAAAATGGATCATACAAAAACAATGTTTGTACATACGTTAATTAATGCAAAGTTAAAACATACATGTTTAGAATATATTGCAAAAGCATAAATTTTATAAGAGATAAACTTACAAGATAATCTGAGAATTGGCATTCATGATACGAAACAAATGGAGTCCCCTGCCAATATATTCTCAATGTTCATTAACTAATGGATTTGAAAAGTATGAAATAATGTTCATTAATTTTTATATACATAGTTCAGAATAAAAGTTTGTTTATACCTGTTCAGTTGGTGGAGTCCTGGGATGACTAAAGTTAGTGGTAGGGCAATATGTCATTTGGTCGATATTTGTTTCCGAATGTAAACGTGCACATGGGTGATGATCTTCGTAAATCCAAGTGGCGTCGCTAGGAATGTCATAACCCTTATTTCAATATAAACATTCTTAATTAAGAGATTATCATACTGAAAATTATAATAATACATAAAAAATAAAAAATCAATGTTTTCATTTAAGAAAAGGAGAAAACTCATATTCAGACGTACATATGTAATAGATGGCATGGTACTACTGCCACCTACACCTGCACTAACACTGTTGTTGCCATTTGATTTCTACAAAATAATAGATTTATTCATTGTAAAAACAAAATTATGACATTGCTAATATCAAAATGTTAATGACATATACTGGAAAATTAAATTATCAAATAATAAAAAATAAATTAAATTAACCTTTCGTTTCGCATAGTTTTTTTTTCTCTGCATGTATTGTTCAAACTTATTCTTCTTCCTGCGCCTTGGTCCCTTACCACCTATTTCTTTATTCTTTATACCCTTGGCATTACTTCCGGTCACGGCTTGCCCAATGATACTTTCATTATGTTCATGATTATTACTTCTTTCAGTTGAAAAAGCTGAATTGGTTGCCTCTTGTTCAACATCAAAACATTGTCTTTCAACATTAATGTGTTTCCTTTTCCATTTCATCCCCTTTAGCATCAAATTATTGAATTCCTCTTCTTTCTCGGATGCAAATGAGCTGATTTCTGTAAAAAAAAACGACATAACATCCTATACCTTCTGCGTACTTCAAGTTTAGGATCAGCAATAACTTCACATCCACGGATGTCTTGTACGCTGTTATCCCTAGCTTTTCTCGTCCACCTTTTTAGTATATACATAGAAGGTAATTCTTTGAAATACTGAGTGTCGTCTTTCAGTACTTTAAGTACATGGCTGCACAAAATACCTTCCATTGCATATTTCCCGCACGAACAACTTAAAAAGCCATCATCCCACCTTGTCACAGTCCGATCCATACTGCCATCATGAACAGATACTCTAGAAACACGTAATCCATTTTCATCAAAACTTGTTCCTTCCACGGTAGCAACCACACAAGCTTCTATGAATTGGTCCTGGAAAAGTTCAAAAATCTTCAATGTGTACATATTGCCCACTTGTTTTAGAATGGGACAATTTTGTTTAAGTCTAGGTAGTTTACTGAGTAAACCATACTCAGCTTGATATTCCTTGTACTGTTTGTCTGACAATAGCCTGTCAACGTGCATGAAGAAATCTGGAATACTCATTTTCCTGGTTAAGTACTCTTTCAAGCAGCTATTTAAACTTCCACTCAGCTGTGTTGTCCGCATTCCAGCGGTAAACCAATGTTCAACAAATGGATAACCCCATTTTTCTCTTAAACCAAACAAATTGTTCAACCATGTGTTACCAACAACATTGTAATCCTTTAATATTACATCCCATTGTATACAAAAATCATCCACATCATCATAACAGTACATGAATTGACTCAGCACACTTTTAATCCCTTCATCATTCCTAAAAATGGTGCCTACATGCTTCTATGCATTTGCCATGATGTGCCACGTGCAAAGTAAATATCTTGTCCTCGGCATAACTTGTGCCAACGCCTTTGCCATTGCACCATCTTGGTCAGTAAGAATCGTTTGTGGTGCTTTACCTAACATCACATTCAAGAATATATCAAAAAGGCATGTAAATGAATAGGCAATCTTATCATACATCATTACTAAAATTTTTAACAGTATTGAAAATTTGAAAGCAAAAACATTATGGCCCAATAAAATATCTTCATTTGAAAAAGTAATTCACGTAAAAAAAGGTAAAAAAAAGAATGGCCATGTTCAATTATTAAAGGCTGAAGTTGATCATGCCCTTTTTTAACCCTTCCTTTTTTTTTTCTTTTTTTCTTTTTTTTTATATATATACTTTTTCAGTATGATTCTGATTTTTATGTAAATTACTTGTGGTTACTTGAGTGAGTTTATTGTTTGTACCTTGTAGCTCACCAGTAACTTAATCATATTTGAAGTCTACTACACTACCTGGAGATGTTAGAATCTTTGCTTCCCAAGGGTAGTAGCAACAGTCATTTATTCCTTCCAAATACCTGTATATGTTTTCCTGAATACAAATACTAAATAATGCAATGACAATACTCGTGTATAAAGTACTTACTTTTTCTTGTATACATACATGTCCATTATGTGCACTCTGGGATTGAGTTTGAGTCATATTTTAAAAAACAAGTAGAGAAAAATAATGAGATGAAAAGAGAAATAAAAATAAAAGGACTTTATTTAGGTAAGTCCCACAATCCACATTCTTTACATCTCCCACAACACCTTGTGTTGTTATTATTATTTTTAAAGAGATATAAATTTTTTTTAAGACATAAAGAGTTATAATTTGAGCTAAATCCTTTTAGTGTAAAAGATGTGAACAAAAAGAATAGAGGAGTTAGAATTCTTATTTTACCCTTGACATTTGACAAAATGAGTACAATAAAATGTTGCAACTATTTTTGTTTTTCTTTTCCATGATATAGAAACAGAAAAACAGAGATTATTCATTGTTCTTTCCTTGATAATTAACTTCTAATTAAGTAGGTGCAGCACAGATAATTAAGTTATAATTTTAACCTACATGGAATCTTAAACCAATTAATTTTTTTTTTTTTAACCAAATGCACTCTTCCAATCTTTCACCTCACATAATCCACATTCTTTACATTTCCACCTTCATCTCATTATTCTTCTCCGCTTGTTTTTTAAAATATGACTCAAACTCAACCCCAAAGTGCACATAATGGACATGTACGTACACAAAAAAAAAGTTAGTATTTTATACACGAGTATTGTCAATGCATTATTTAGTATTTGTATTCAGGAAAACATATACAGGTATTTGGAAGGAATAAATGACTGTTGTTACTACCCTTGGGAAGCAAAGATTCTAACATCTCCAGGTAGTGTAGTAGACTTCAAATATGATTAAGTTACTGGTGAGCTACAAGGTACAAACAATAAACTCACTCAAGTAACCATAAGTAATTTACATAAAAAATAGAATCATACTAAAAAAGTATATATATATAAAATAAAATAAAAAGAAAAAAAAAGAGGAAGGGTTAAAAAAGGGCATGATCAACTTTAGCCTTTAATAATTGTAAAAAGAAAAAAAAAAATTACAATTAGATTACTTACCTGACATTGCATTCAAGAATGAATCAAACAGCCACGCAAAGGAATTGGCAGTCTCGTCATACATCAATGCTAGTCCAAAGACAGCAGTCTCCCGATGATGATTCAAACCAAGAAAAGCCGCAAAAGGACGATTGCTTTGGACGAGCTTGTATGTTGTGTCGAATGTGATGACGTCTCCGAAATGCCCATAGTCAATTTTCATTCTCGAATCTGCCCAGAAGATATTAGTTATCATTTCATCGCTATCCAATTGCACGGTGTGAAAAAATGAAGGATTCTCACAAGATTGAATTTTGAAATAATTCATCAGCCATGTTTTCTCTCCGTATTCTAACTCACTCTGTCTTCTTGTCCTTAGAAAATTTTGTTGATCAACTTTGGTGTAGCCAATTGATTGACTTCCACCAGCCTGCCTGCTCATTAACTCAAATGCATTACCGAGTGGAACTCCAGATTAGCAGGCCAATTCCACATCAATTGCTTGGGCAACACTTATTCTTCGTTGTGATGGCATCATATGTGTGCATTATTCAATTATCATAGGATGATTGTGAGATTCGACAAAATTATATACAACATACTTTCCCTTCTTGCGGTCATATATAATTTGCATCAGTGCACCACAACCGGTTCGACTTTCCGCCCTGGGCTTTCTTGTATGGATATCCCTCTTGTCCTTCACCCTAAAACCTTGTTTGGAACACACAAACTTGCTTGTTGTAATATTTCCTGTCTTACGGCTTTTATTTGCATAATCCTTACGAATACTGAATCAAACTTTACCCCCATAAGCATTATAAAAGTCGTATGCTTCATCCTCAGTGTCAAACTGCATGTTCAATTTTGGTGTGAATTCTATGTCAATGGGATTGACAACTTCTGCTACTAAGTTTTCAGAAATATTGATTTCGGCAACGATTGGAACGCTTGTTCTCACATCATTAATACTTAAGTCATTATCCATTGGGATAACATCAGTATGAATGCTACAACAAGCAAAAGGTCCATCAAAACGTTAAAGTCAGTTTCTATAACTTGTGACAAAAATATATATATACTAAATATTTACCGACCTAATGAAAAGGGCTAAAAAATCGTACAATTATCCAAGATTTCAGATACACTAGAATGCTTAACCAAAGTCAATTTCAAGTAAAAAAAAAATATCATAATTTAAACAAACTGATGACAAATGAAAGAATTAAAAAAATTTAACTTTAGGTGTGAAATTAGTTTTGCAGAGGTGTGAAATTAGTTTGCAGAGGTGTGAAATTAGTTTGCAGAACTGTGTTAATTACTTATTTTGATGGTGAAGGTGATCAGTGTCCCTACTTATTAAACTTCACAATGTATTTTTTCTCATAAATGTGACATAATAACCTGTGAAATGTGTAATTGTCGCATACATGAGAAGACAAAATATTTGGATAACACATTGGTATCTAATGAAGCCAACTCAGTTAAAAAAAAACAATTAGGGAATATTTTACATTCACTAGAATGGTTATTGAAGATTATAGAAGAAAATCCTACAATTAACCAAGATTTCAAATACTCTAGAACGCTTAACTAATGTCAATTTCAAGTAAAAAAAAATCATAATTTACACTAACGGATGACAAATGAAAGAATTAAAAAATGTTAAATTTAGGCGTAAAATTAGTTTGGCAAAGGTGTGAAATTAGTTTTGCAGAATTGTGTGAATAGCTTATTTTGATGGTGAAGGTGATCAGTGTCCCTACTTATTAAACTTCACAATGTATTTTTTCTCAGAAATGTGACATAATAACCTGTGAAATGTGTAATTGCCACATACATGAGAAGACAAAATATCTGGATAACACATTGGTATCTAATGAAGCCAACTCAGTTAAAAAAAAACAATTAGGGAAGATTTTACATTCACTAGAATGGTTATTGAAGATTATAGAAGAAAATCCTATAATTATCCAAGATTTCAAATACGCTAGAATGCTTAACCAATGCCAATTTCAAGTAAAAAAAAAAATCATAATTTACGCTAACGGATGACAAATGAAAGAATTAAAAAATGTTAAATTTAGGTGTGAAATTAGTTTTACAGAGGTGTGAAATTAGTTTTTTAGAACTGTGTGAATAGCTTATTTTGATGGTGAAGGTGATCAGTGTCCTTACTTATTAAACTTCACAATGTATTTTTTCTCATAAATGTGACATAATAACCTGTGAAATGTGTAATTGCCGCATACATGAGAAGACAAAATATTTGGACAACGAATTGGTATCTAATGAAGCCAACTCAGTTAAAAAAAACAATTAGGAAAGATTTTACAATCACTAGAATGGTTATTGAAGATTATAGAAGAAAATCCTACAATTATCCAAGATTTCAAATACGCTAGAATGCTTAACCAATGCCAATTTCAAGTATAAAAAATCATAATTTACACTAACGGATGGCAAATGAAAGAATTAAAAAATGTTAAATGTAGGTGTGAAATTAGTTTTACAGAGGTGTGAAATTAGTTTTTTAGAACTGTGTGAATAACTTATTTTGATGGTGAAGGTGATTAGTGTCCCTACTTATTAAACTTCACAATGTATTTTTTCTCATAAATGTGACATAATAACCTGTGAAATGTGTAATTGCCGCATACATGAGAAGACAAAATATTTGGATAACACATTGGTATCTAATGAAGCCAACTCAGTTAAAAAAAAAACAATTATGGAAGATTTTACATTCACTAGAATGGTTATTGAAGATTATAGAAGAAAATCCTACAATTAACCAATATTTCAAATACTCTAGAATGCTTAACTAATGTCAATTTCAAGTAAAAAAAAATTCATAATTTACACTAACGGATGACAAATGAAAGAATTAAAAAATGTTAAATTTAGGCGTGAAATTAGTTTGGCAAATGTGTGAAATTAGTTTTGCAGAACTGTGTGAATAACTTATTTTGATGGTGAAGGTAATCAGTGTCCCTACTTATTAAACTTCACAATGTATTTTTTCTCAGAAATGTGACATAATAACCTGTGAAATGTGTAATTGCCGCATACATGAGAAGACAAAATATTTGGATAATGCATTGGTATCTAATGAAGCCAACTCAGTTAAAAAAAACAATTAGGGAAGATTTTACATTCACTAGAATGGTTATTGAAGATTATTGAAAAAAATCCTATAATTATCCAAGATTTCAAATACGCTAGAATACTTAACCAATGCCAATTTCAAGTAAAAAAAATCATAATTTACACTAACAGATGACAAATGAAAGAATTAAAAAATGTTAAATTTAGGTGTGAAATTAGTTTTACAGACGTGTGAAATTAGTTTTTTAGAACTATGTGAAAAGCTTATTTTGATGGTGAAGGTGATCAGTGTCCCGACTTATTAAACTTCACAATGTATTTTTTCTCATAAATGTGACATAATAACATGTGAAATGTGTAATTGTCGCATACATGAGAAGACAAAATATTTGGATAACACATTGGTATCTAATGAAGCCAACTCAGTTAAAAAAAAAAACAATTAGGGAAGATTTTATATTCACTAGAATGGTTATTGGAGATTATAGAAGAAAATCCTACAATTAACCAAGATTTCAAATACTCTAGAATGCTTAACTAATGTAAATTTCAATTAAAAAAAAATCATAATTTACACTAACGGATGACAAATGAAAGAATTAAAAAATGTTAAATTTAGGAGTGAAATTAGTTTGGCAAAGGTGTGAAATTAGTTTTGCAGAACTGTGTGAATAACTTATTTTGGTGGTGAAGGTGATCAGTGTCCCTACTTATTAAACCTCACAATGTATTTTTTCTCAGAAATGTGACATAATAACCTGTGAATTGTGTAATTGCCGTATACATGAGAAGACAAAATATTTGGATAACACATTGGTATCTAATGAAGCCAACTCAGTTAAAAAAAACAATTATGGAAGATTTTACATTCACTAGAATGGTTATTGAAGATTATAGAAGAAAATCCTATAATTATCCAAGATTTCAAATACGCTAGAATGCTTAACCAATGCCAATTTTAAGTAAAAAGAATCATAATTTACACTAACGGATGACAAATGAAAGAATTAAAAAATGTTAAATTTAGGTGTGAAATTAGTTTTGCAGAGGTGTGAAATTAGTTTTGTAGAACTGTGTGAATAGCTTATTTTGAAGGTGAAGGTGATCAGTGTCCCAACTTATTAAACTTCACAATGTATTTTTTCTCAGAAATATTACATAATAACCTGTGAAATGTGTAATTGCCGCATACATGAGAAGACAAAATATTTGGATAACACATTGGTATCTAATGAAGCCAACTTAGTTAAAAAAAACAATTATGGAAGATTTTACATTCACTAGAATGGTTATTGAAGATTATAGAAGAAAATCCTATAATTATTCAAGATTTCAAATACGCTAGAATGCTTAACCAATGCCAATTTCAAGTAAAAAGAATCATAATTTACACTAACGGGTGACAAATGAAAGAATTAAAAAATGTTAAATTTAGATGTGAAATTAGTTTTGCAGAGGTGTGAAATTAGTTTTACAGAACTGTGTGAATAGCTTATTTTGATGGTGAATGTGATCAGTGTCCCTACTTATTAAACTTCACAATGTATTTTTTCTCATAAATGTGACATAATAACCTGTGAAATGTGTAATTGCCGCATACATGAGAAGACAAAATATTTGGATAACACATTGATATCTAATGAAGCCAACTCAGTTAAGAAAAAACAATTATGGAAGATTTTAAATTCACTAGAATGGTTATTGAAGATTATAGAAGAAAATTCTACAATTAACTAAGATTTCAAATACGCTAGAATGCTTAACTAATGTCAATTTCAAGTAAAAAAAATCATAATTTACAGTAATGGATGACAAATGAAAGAATTAAAAAATGTTAAATTTAGGTGTGAAATTAGTTTGGCAAAGGTGTGAAATTAGTTTTTTAGAACTCTGTGAATAGCTTATTTTGATGGTGAAGGTGATCAGTGTCCCTACTTATTAAACTTCACAATGTATTTTTTCTCATAAATGTGACATAATAACATGTGAAATGTGTAATTGCCGCATACATGAGAAGACAAAATATTTGGATAACACATTGGTATCTAATGAAGCCAACTCAGTTAAAAAAAAACAATTATGGAAGATTTTACATTCACTAGAATGGCTATTGAAGATTATAGAAGAAAATCCTACAATTAACCAAGATTTCAAATATGCTAGAATGCTTAACTAATGTCAATTTCAAGTAAAAAAAAAAAATTCATAATTTACACTAACGGATGACAAATGAAATAATTAAAAAATGTTAAATTTAGGTGTGAAATTAGTTTTGCAAAGCTGTGTAAATAGTTTATTTTGATCATGAAGGTGATCAGTGTCCCTACTTATTAAACTTCACAATGTATTTTTTCTCAGAAATGTGACATAATAACCTGTGAAATGTGTAATTGCCGCATACATGAGAAGACAAAATATTTGGATAACACATTGTTACCTAATGAAGCCAACTCAGTTAAAAAAAAAATAATAATGCAAGATTTTACATTCACAAGAATGGTTATTGAAGATTTTAGAAGAAAATCCTACAATTATCGAAGATTTTAAATACGCTAGAATGCTTAACCAATGTCAATTTCAAGTAAAAAAATATCATAATTTACACTAACAGATGACAAATGAAAAAATTAAAAAATGTTAAATTTAGGTGTGAAATTAGTTTTGCAGAGGTGTGAAATTAGTTTTACAGAACTGTGTGAATAGCTTATTTTGATGATGAAGGTGATCAGTGTTCTTACTTATTAAACTTCACAATGTTTTTTTTCCTCATAAATATCACATAATAACTTGTAAAATGCGTAATTGCCGCATACATGAAAAGACAAAATATTTGGATAACACATTGGTACCTAATGAAGCCAACTCAGTTAAAAAAAAATA